GGAAATTTTTATGTCATTTGATTTCATTAATTTTGTTTCTTTCAGATGATTGTAGGAACATAGCAGCCATTGCTGTGGAACTGATCAAAAGAGGTCATGTGTTTAAGCAGACATCTTATCCTTGACCTCTGATAGAGCGCCATCTACTGGATCAGAGATCAAAGTGTGAAGAAATGACTGCACATACTCAGGATCAAGACTGTCTAAATAAACATCAGTGGCAGGAGATTTGAAGTTCTTACTCTGAGATAAACTATAGCTGGGATCATAATGTTCTGTCAGGAGAGCTTCCACAAACTGGGACCACTGACCGCTCTCTCCGAGTGAGAACCATTTGCTAAGATTAGAATTTCTGTGATAACTTTTAAGTTTCATGAGTTTTTGTTTTGTAAACTGAAAATGTTCAATAAAGTCTAAATAATTTTTCAAGATGTGTTGTACTCTGTTTTCCATTGAAAGGTTCATACGATAATGCTGTGCTTTCCCCATCTCTGAGTGTAAAGTTCGTGGTATGTGTACATTGCCTATCCAAACACTCTCTGACTCTATCCACACCACCTTCTCTGGAGTAAAGAATTGGAGCTTTTCTACTCTCTGGGATTCAAACCATTTCTGTGAGGGTTGGGTTCCATTGATATCTGCCCCCAGTACGGATCCCCTGTGATTAGCAATGCCCTCTAGATCCAACACCTGTTCACCAAGAGCAGACTACAAAGATGAGATAAATGTTTTTTCCAAGATCTATTTGATCATAAAAAGAAAATAATAATAAATATGCTAAAATGCTAATTGATTTATTGTATGTTGTTTAACATACCTTTCGAGAAGTCACCACTTGCCAGCGGAGAGCTGCACTCGGCACTTATGGCCATTGAGCAGGGAGGGATCTTTTTCATTCCAGCACCTACTGCAACAAGAGATCTCGGTTTATACGATCGAATCCAAAGGACTGGTCTCCATGACCCATAGTGGGAAATTAAAAAAAAATAATTAAAAATAAAGAAGTTATAATAATTGTTCACGATTTTCAAACAACTAATGCAATATTATAAGTTAAGTCTACAACAAAATCTTTACATAATTGGGAAATACATGTATTATTTGCTCACCTCAGCGACGTTGATGGAAAACTTACGTAATACCATCGGCGTTGATGTCGGTATCCCAGGTTAAGGTTTCTAGTGCAGTTTTCTAATTAAGTGTTTCTTATATGCCCACATTCATCAGACATGCATGAATGATGCTTCTAGTGTTTTTCGTTGTACCCGTCAAGGTTTCAGATGCTGCAATTTTAGCTATGATCAGATTATATTTTTGAAACAGGTTGAAATTTCTGGTCAATATTTTGGAGCAAGGCTCATTTTCAAGGAACTTAAAGCGCTGATTTGACCTCGCTTGTAAGGATGATACATATAAGGATGCACATTACCAGGCTTGCTTTGGATGTTGGATCTGAAATACATTTCTAGATGAGTGACCAGGTAGAAGGATTGTGGAGCAGATCCATTACTAATTAAGAAACTGTAAGGCCTATTTGAACCAACTTGCATGGATAATGAATCAATTTAAGGGATGAACACTCTCAAACCTCAGATGCTGGATTTGAATAACATTTTCTAGACGAGTGATTAATTCAAATTTAGTAGAGAAGTCAAATTCCAAGTAAATAGAAGCTCTATAAGATCAAAATTGTGTAAATGTTGCAGCTTGGGAAAGACACTTCTTAATAATTAGTTTATTGCGAGTCCTTGTCTTACTTAAAGACAGCATTCGTTAAGGTGAGTTCTGTAACCTCTGATTTCCTTATACATGTGCCCATGTTTATGCAACTTGTGTGTTTTTTTTTACCCCTGGACCATGGTGAGGGAATGAAAAACACACCACAAGTTGGATAACAATCATATCTAAGCACAAATTATGGGAGATTTTTTGAAACGTTTTATGCATGCCTGTCAATGTTTTTAAACTAAATGATTTAAGCCGAAGGTCTCAAGTGATCTCTTCTAATCACAAATTGTCTGTCTTGTTGTCGGTATCAGTGCCCTTAATATTTTTGTTTTCACAATTTCATCTTCTTCTCGAGAACCACTGGACCAATTTCAACCAAACTTGACACCAGTATCCTTGAGTAAAAGGGCCTCAAGTTTATTGAAATGAGGTCCCGCAGTGTCTTTCTTCTAGGAGGAAATAATTTAGAATTAGAAAAAAAATCATGGCATCATTTAAAAATCCTCTGAAGAACAACTGGGCGAGGGAGGATTAAATTAATGTGGAAACATCCTCAGGTAGTGTACGTAGATTCAAATCTGTTCAAATTTTGACCCACCAAGGATAGGATGGGGCCATAACTGGTGATCAAAGTTTACAATAGAAATACATTCGAAAATATCTTTAAAAATCTTCTTCTCAAGATTAGCAACACCATGACTGGACATATTTAAATTAAAATGCATTCTATTCTCTGTTAGTTTAGATTAAATTAATTCAAATCATGACCTCAGGGGAGGGATGGGGCTCTAATATGCAATCAAATATAACATAGAAATATATTGTAAATATGATAAAATTTCCTTCTTAAGAACATCGTCGCCCGCGTGGCGCAGTGGTAAGGGCGTCTGCTCGAGAGTTGCGAAGTTATAAAGGAGTTAATCTTTACGTCGCGGGTTCGAACCCAACTGTAAATCGGACCTTCGGATGAGATCGTATAAACCGAGGTCCTGTGTTGCAGTAGGTGCTATCATAAAAAAGACCTCTCCCCGCTCAATTGTCCTGATTGCCGAGTATCGGACAAACTTTATAGCTTTCCACCGGCAAGTGGTATTGTCTCCATATGAGTAAAAACTTTTCGAGAGGGACGTTAAATAACATACAATCAATCAATCGATCTTAAGAACATCAACGTCGAGGTAAGTTTTATTTCAGAGCATTCTTACGTAGTCTTAGAAGATTTAAGTTTGCTAAAATTGTGACTTCTGGCGTTTGCATGAGCCAAAGTCTTAAATATCCTACTATATATATTTATAGGCTTTTTCTCAAAATTTTTATATTTTACGTTCCAGGAAAACATCAATACCGGCGCTATATAAGAAACTGGGAATTTGGCCGTCTCTAATATTGAAGCATATTTTCAATACCTGTGAACCGAATTAAATTGTTTAACTTTTTATAAATAGCACAATGTATCTAGTACTCACCAATATCAATGAAAAGAAAATATAACGCCACTCTTCGATATAGATCTTGCCAGATATTAAATTGAACGAAATTAAAACAAAATTCAACAGGATGGGCATGCGTGAAGTTGTTGGCGTAATCATGAATTAGCGCTACACATGTCTGTGCAGTGTATTGTATATGTAAATGATTTCTTAGCGTGATTCATGATTTAGCGCATTGTTGATTGCGCCAAAGCCGCTAAAATATGAAGCCTTGTTTTTTAAGTACACATACAGTATTTTATAACCTAACAGTAAAAACGATGTTGGAGAGTGCTAAAGGCATTGTACAATCGATAAGTTGTGAATTCAGTTCGCAAGTATCGAAAATCAAACAGAGAATGCCGCCCACAGGTGGAGGCGGCAAATTCCCTATAGCCAATGAGAAATATCCATGGAATACAGGGGTAAAATTGTGGTACAAAAATGATACTCGATAGAATGTTTCTTTTTCTTAGCTCATCTGAGCTGAAATCTGTCTGTCAGTCCGTCCGTCAGTTAACTTTTAAAATTTTTAACTTCTTCTCAAGAACCGCTGGACCAATTTAAACTGAACTTGGTATAAAGCATTCTTGGGTAAAGGGGAGTTTAAGTTATTAAAATGAATGGCTAAGTCTCCTTTCAAGGAGAAAATATCAAGAAAAGTAATAACTCCCGGGGGTAGGGCGGAGCCACAATAGGGAATTTAAATGTTACATTGAAATATATTAAAAAAAATTAAAAATCTTCTTTTCAAGAACCACTGGGCCTGGAAAGCTTAAACTTACATGGAAGAATCCTGGGGTAGTGTAGATTCTGAATTTTACAAACCATATTCCCCGGGGGAAGGGCAGGGCCACAAAAGAAAATCGAATTTTTACATTAAACTTTTTGATAAACCTTTAAAACTCTTCTAAGAACCACTGGTCCAGAAAAGCTGAACTTATGTGGCTGCAATCCTTGGTTGTGTAGATACTAAATTGTACAAACCATGACCCCCCGGGGATAGGGCGGACCACAGTAGATAATCCACGTTTTACATTGAAGTAAAGAGGAAAAATCTTTTCTTAAAAATATCTTTTAAAGAACCACTTGGCCAGAAAAGCTGAAACTTACATGGAAGCAGCCCGGGGTAGTGCAGATTCTAATTTTTTAAAAATCATCGCCACTGGGGGTAGGGTGGGGCCACAATAGGGAATGCAAGTTTCACATTGAAATATATAAAAAATTATTTTAAAAATCTCCCCAAGAACCACTGGGTCTGAAAAGATGAACCTTATATAATAGTACCCCGGGGTAGTGTAGATTCTAAATTGTCTAAATCATGACCCTCTAGGGTAGGGCGGGACCATAATCGGTATCACAAGGGGGAAATCTGTTCAAAAACCGCATGGCGAAAGTTACTCAGTTGAGCGATGTGGTCCATGAGCCTCTTGTTTTGTTCTTTATTTTTTTTTATCATCCGTGAGATTAAAGGAAATGAAAGCCAAATGGGAGCCTTCACGTCGTTTTAATATTATGGTCTTAAAATGTCACAGTTTCGTAAAAAGTACCAATAGCAATGGTTTTAATTTCATGTTGAAAGATATCAATTTAAATTTCGTATGAGCATTTTAACTTTTTGAAAAATTAAGGATAGCATTCACGATAGGTATAAGATCTAGACTTCACAGAAATTTGATGAATCGTGAACATTGTAAAATTAAAACCTTCGTGATTATTTACCAATCTACAGTATACCTGGTTTTACTGATATTAATCATTGCTTCACAAACTTTATTAACAAATAACAAACTTAATATGTGCCGGAACTCAATCCGGAATTTTATTTGTTACTGTTCTAATTTTACTCTTGTTTTCATATTTCCCGCGTGAGATCAGTTGTTTACTTTACCGATGGAATTTGGCTATTTTTTCTCTATCAGACAACAGTGTAAGTTTGCAAACATGTTTTTATAATTATTTTGATGATGTATAACAGATTTAAAATCACTCTTATTATGTGTCACTTCATAAATGCAAATTTGAGATGTTATATACTAGGGTCTGATTTTGTCAATGTATGTCAAAGTATGGTGCGCATTTTCTGTCACATGTATTAAGTGATAATTCTAATTCTAATAATATTGATTATGTGCAAGAATAATTGGCTGAACATTGTAAATCTTTTGTATTTTTTTTAATGTAGTTTCAGATAATTTCTACATGTTATTTTTGTTTTCATTGGCAGTTTTTCACCTGATTGAATAAAGGAATTACTACTGTAAAACTCTTCTATTCGTCATGTTAGCTGTCTGCAACCCTACCTAGAGGCAGCACAGGGAAAAAACTAGGACATTTATCTCACAACGCACTGTTACATGCTACTTCTACGATGTACACAGATGGTTACGACGATACAGTAGATAGAGAAGATAGACCAGTCAGAATGGCATCAAAATCAGAAAAGGGTCAAGAGTACTACAAAGAACAGAAAGAAATGTTTGAAAAAAGATTGAAATCATCTGGTTTTATGCTCAGTAGCACTATAGAAACCTATGAACAAACTCTACCAAAATCAATAACTGGACTAGAAATGGCACAAGCAGATCTACACACAGCGTACAAGAGATATGACAAAGATGCGAACAGTTATTTAGACTTTCTCGCGAGATCACGTGAAACAGAAGCTCAAGAGGACATCAATGCATACTGGGAAATCATGAATGACCTTAAAAAGAAATACAACTCTCTAATGGACAAAATCACACTTCAACGGGACTCTGTTGAGACAAGATCTATGACAAAATCACATAAAACAGATTATTCTTATAGAAGTCAGAAGTCAAATGCTTCAGAAGCTGCACTTAAGAGAGCAAAGGCCGAGGCTGAAAAAGTGAAACTCAAATTCGCAGAACAAGAAGTTACACTGAAAAAAGAACAGTTTGACAAAACGTTACAGATCGAATTGCTTCAACAACGTAAGACTGCCGCAGCAGCGGACGCCGAAGCCACTTACCTCGAAAAACAATCAACCGCTGATGACAATGAAGCAGTCAAGTTACCCGAGGAGGAATTGAGTCCTTTGGAGAAAACTTTGCAATTTTTAGATGAAATAAACACAGGCACCAATGATACCCAGCCTCCGCTTACAACTGACGTCCCACAAGACAAGCCTCTTTCACCCGATTCTGAACCTTTTGTTCCAAAATCAACTTTGCACGAAGTCTCCTCGACTCCTCAAGTGCCTTCACATATTGTACAGAAAAGACACAGTGACAGAATGGGTGTACTGGAAACATTTGACGATGAAGCTACAGTCTTGAATCATCTATCGCCAGGAAACTTTGTCATGAAGAAAAACCTACTCTTAGAAACCTTTCAGCAACAAAAGTTTGATGATAAGCCAGATGTTACATTGTTTGGAAGAAACAATTTAAAGTCATCACCTCAGACATTAAGTGCACACCTTTAGAGGAGTTAACCTTGATAACCAACTGTGTGCGGACAGGATCCGAAGCTTTCCGTCTGATAATGAGCTCGAGAGCAGCATGTGCGGATGATCCACTACAGTGTTTATCAAATATTTGGGAACGCTTGGATCAACGTTTTGGTAGTGCCGAGTTACTAGAGTCAACCTTGAAAACAAAATTGTTCAACTTGCCGAACATGATTGACCGTAAAGATCTTTATGAACTCCATGACATTCTGTGCGAGATTCAAGCTGTGAAAGCAACCGTTGAGTATTCCTCAATATTCTCCTACTTGGATTCCTCTTTAGGTATCAAGCCCATCGTCGAGAAACTACCAAAAGGTATCCAGGACAAATGGATCAACAGAGTGGTTAGCTGCAAAAAGGACCGTAAAATTATTTTCCCTCCCTTCACAGAGTTTGTGAAGTTTATAGGTGAAATCAGCACCATTCGAAATGACCCAGGTCTGATATATGAAACTGCTACCAACTGGAATCAAGTTCGTAAGCCTAGCACAGGCAAACCACAAAATGTGATGAACAATCATAAGCCGAAAGGCCAGTATATCATCTCTACACACAAGACCGAAATCAGCCCTGGCAGTTTGAACGATACCAAACGTACATGTCTGATTCACAAAGGCTCTAAACATACCATCAATCAATGTAAAGCATTTAGACACAAGAACTTACAAGAGCGGAAGAAGATTTTACGTGATCATAATTTCTGTTTACGGTGTTGTGATACATCGGATCATTTTGCAAAAAACTGTCATGCAAAGATTGAATGTGACTTATGCAAATCAACCACACACAGTTCAGCTCTTCACGTTGAAAACCATAGCTACCAAAATGAGGATGCTAACAATTCTGAGAGAAAGCATGGCGAGGAGGTTGTCAGGGCGCGATGTACAGACATCTGTGGAGTACCTAATTTTACAGGTAAATCTTGTGCAAGGATTGTCCCAGTACGTATATATCCTCACAATCAACCAGAGAATGCAGTCCTTTCCTACGCGATGCTTGATGATCAAAGCAACCGTACTTTAGGAAAAAGCTCATTGTTTGATCACTTCTCTATTAACTCTTTACCTACGGAATATACCATGGAATCATGCGCAGGAAAGTTGACTACTACTGGAAGAATCGTTGAAGGTTTGATAGTTGAAGGCATTTATGACAAAGTTCAACTACAGTTACCTCCTGTTTTGGAATGTGAGAACATGCCTGACAATCATGCTGAAATTCCAACTCCCGACATAGTTCTCCACTATCCTCACATGCGCGACATATCGGATTATCTACTTCCGTATGACAAATCTATGCATATCATGCTATTATTGGGTCGTGACTTACCTGAAGCTCACCATGTCATCGAACAGAGGATAGGCCCGCCACGATCACCCTTTGCACAAAGATCGCCGTTAGGGTGGACTATCATCGGAAACGTGTGCTTATCAGGTCAACACCATCCGTCAGCAGTTGCTACATATAGAACTTGTATCACTAGGAATGGTCGACCAACAGGCTTAGAACCATGTGAACAGGTGGTTTGCGTTAGAAAAGCCTCAGTGTTTAAAGAAAAACACAACCCCACACAAACAACATTGAATGTGTTCGAAACCACTACTCAGGACAACAAACCAGGACTATCTATTGAAGATCGTCAGTTTTTGAATATCATGGACAGTGAATTCCAACTAAGCGAGGAAGGAAAATGGATTGCCCCATTACCATTCCGTGAGCCACATGATCATATGCCAGACAATTACAAACTTGCTCTGCATCGTGCCAAGTCGTTAGATGCATCACTGCATAAAAATCAAACCAAAAAACAACATTTTCTGGACTTCATGCAGAAATTGTTTGACAATAACCACATTGAGATTGCACCTTATCTCCCTCCAGAAAGAGAGCGTTGGTACCTCCCACTCTTCGGGGTCTACCACCCTAGGAAGCCAGAGCAGATTCGCGGAGTGTTTGACTCCTCAGCCAAACATATGAATGTCTCGTTAAACGACCAGCTTCTCCAAGGTCCAGACCTTATCAACAACCTTTTAGGTGTACTCATTCGATTCAGGAAGGAAATGGTCGGCGTAGTTGCAGATATTCAACAAATGTTTCATTCATTTCTAGTACAAGAAGATCACCGCGACTACCTGAGATTTCTCTGGCATAAAGACAATTTGATGGAAAATCCCCTTGTCACTTACCGTATGCGTGCACATGTTTTTGGCAACAAGTCTTCACCATCTATTGCTATGTATGGGTTACGGAGAATTGGCGACTTGGCTGCAAAAACCCATGGTGATGACATCAAAGAGTTTATCAAAAATGACTTTTATGTTGATGACGGGCTCAGGTCTTGTCCTTCAAGCCAAGAAGCTATCAACTTGATCAGCAAAACCCAAGATGCCATGAAAATGCATGGAGGCCTACGTCTACATAAGTTCGCTTCCAACAGCAAAGCTGTAATGGATGCTTTCGAACCTGGAGACTTAGCTAAAGGTATCGTCGATATGGATTTTGAAAAGGACACGCCCACCCAGCGAAGCTTGGGCTTGCTGTGGGATCTAGGATCGGACTCATTTAAGTTTAGCATCTCAACCGAAACTAAAACTACAACACGCAGAGGAATCCTTTCTGTGATCAATAGTCTGTATGATCCTTTGGGATTTATCTCCCCTGTCACTTTGAACGGCAAACTAATTCTCCGAAAGATCGTAGCTTCCACATGCGATTGGGACGATCCTTTGCCTGATGATTTGCTCACCGAATGGAACGCTTGGAGTCGTACACTATCTGAACTAGAGGATTTGCGTCTACCTCGTGTCATTGTACCAAATCTCAGTACAGCTGTTTCCAAGGAACTAAGAATCTATTGCGATGCTTCTGAACGCGCCATCGCTGCTGTATGCTTTCTACATGTAACATACCCGGATAGTTCATGTTCTACTGGATTCGTATTGGGGAAGGCCAAGCTCGCTCCGTCAAGTTGTACTACCATTCCTAGACTAGAACTTTGCTCTGCAGTGTTAGCAGTAGAAATATCACAGAATGTAGTCGACCATCTCCAGATTAGCTTAGACAACATTCAGTTCTTCAGTGACAGCAAAGTTACGTTGGGTTATATCCACAACAACACTAAGAGATTTTATGTATATGTCGCCAATCGCGTTGCAAAGATCCGCAGCTATACGGAGCCTTCTCAGTGGAAATACATCCGTTCAGAGATGAATCCGGCAGATATTGGAACCAGGGGGATTCAACCTAGCGACCTTCAAGCAAGTGCTTGGTTACTCGGTCCAGCAGATGATGGTGATTTGCATCATTTTCCAAGTACATGTGATTATAACCTAGTGCAACCAGAAGAGGATGTGGAGATTCGTTCTCACAAAACTGAAGTTAAAGAATTTGTACCAAGTGAAGGTCTTGGTTCAAAAGTGTTCGAGAAATTTTCTGATTGGAATAGACTGATTACTGCGTTGGCCGCAATTCGTCGAAAGATTCAGCATTTCCTTGGTTTGAAACGTCAAAATGGTTCAAGATGTATGAGTGCTGTTGAATTGCTACTTGAAATGGAACATCATGTCATCAGAGAAGTCCAGTCAGTAACATACTCGGATGAGATACGCTTGCTCAAGAACTCGAAACCTCTGAATAGGTCTAGCCCTATCGCGAGCCTCGATCCATTCATTGATGACCAGGGTCTTCTCAGAGTTGGAGGACGATTAACAAATCTAGGTTCCGACCTCCCCCTCACAACTCCTATCATCTTACCTGCCAAGCATCATATCACTTTGCTCATTGCTCGTAAATGTCATGAAGAGGTTCGTCATCAGGGCAGACATCTCACAGAAGGCCATATTCGTTCTGCTGGGTTTTGGGTTGTAGGCGCCAAAAGACTTGTGTCTTCCATCATCCACAAATGCGTCATTTGTAGAAAGCTACGAAAATCAACCGAAACACAAAAGATGTCGAGCTTACCTGTTGATCGTATAACTCTAGGGCAACCGCCATTTACATCCGTCGGCGTTGATATGTTTGGTCCATTTGAAGTTGTTACTAGGAGAACTCGTGGAGGCTCTGCAAACAGCAAACGTTGGGGCGCTCTCTTCACGTGTCTTGTGACAAGGGCAGTGCATATTGAAACAGTGGAAGAAATGTCCACTTCCTCGTTCATAAATGCTATGCGACGCTTTATAGCAATTCGAGGGGATGTACTCTTGTTCCGCTCTGATAGAGGAACTAACTTTGTAGGGACAGCAAACGAGTTGAAGATTAATGTTGTCAATGTAGAAGATGGTCCAATTCATGATTTCTTACTTCAGCATCGTATTTCTTGGATCTTCAACCCCCCACATTCCTCACACATGGGAGGAGTGTGGGAAAGGATGATTGGAGCAACCCGCCGTATATTAGAAGCTATGCTCCTACAACACAAATCCTGTCTTACTCACGAGGTGCTCTCAACATTCCTTGCTGAAGTTAGTCACATCATTAACTCAAGGCCATTAGTCTCCGTGTCAACAGACCCCAACAATCCAATGATCCTCACTCCGTCAACTCTACTTACACAAAAGCTCGGATTTGAAAACCGTATTTTATTGGATGTCGACAAATTCGATCGCAATGACTTGCTTCGTAAGCACTGGAAAAGAGTCCAAAATCTTGCCGCCATATTTTGGAAGCGTTACAAGGTTGAATACTTAAACACCCTACAAAACCGCCGAAAATGGACTGGGACTGAAAGAAACGTTTCTGTTGGTGACATTGTGCTATTGAAAGATTCAGAATTACCACGCAATTGTTGGCCTATGGGAATCGTTACCAACATCATCCCAAGTTCGGACGACCTCGTGCGCAAAATTCAAATCAGAATTTCTGTTGAAGGCAAACCAAAGACATTTTTGCGTCCTATAAGTGAAGTGATTTTATTACTAGAAAATCAAATGTGAATCTTGTAACTCATGATGTAAGGTTAATCTTTAGATACACTGAGAGACTGTAGTCATGTTTTTGTTGTATTTAGTTGCTTACTTATGTGTTCGATAAACATGTATAGTGTATTAATTTTTCCTTTTGGAACTTGATCAAATGATATTTTCAATATCAGGCGAGGAGTGTGCCGGAACTCAATCCGGAACTTTATTTGTTACAGTTCTAATTTTACTCTTGCTTTCATATTTCCCGCGTGAGATCAGTTGTTTACTTTACCGATGGAATTTGGCTATTTTTTCTCTATCAGACAACAGTGTAAGTTTGCAAACATGTTTTTATAATTATTTTGATGATGTATAACAGATTTAAAACCATTCTTATTATGTGTCACTTCATAAATGCAAATTTGAGATGTTATATACTAGGGTCTGATTTTGTCAATGTATGTCAATGTATGGTGCGCATTTTCTGTCACATGTATTAAGTGATAATTTTCTAATATTGATTATGTGCAAGAATAATTGGCTGTTGTAAATCTTTTGTATTTTTTTAATGTAGTTTCAGATAATTTCTACATGTTATTTTTGTTTTCATTGGCAGTTTTTCACCTGATTGAATAAAGGAATTACTACTGTAAATCTCTTCTATTCGCACATAATACATATATGCAAAAACATGTTAGCTGTGGTATAGACAATACTGGGTATCCAGATTGTGACCCAGACTGTTGTTCTGGCATTAATTCATTCATGTAATAGACTGTATCGTAAATAGAAATGTCCCATGCTACAGCATATCTTATCTTTGAAGACCAGGACTGTCCCCCTAAGGACTCATGAAACATGTACCTCACTGCATTTATGGGTATATTTGTGACATTGATTACATATGGCTGTGCTAACTTGACCTTTGTCATTTCTATGACTGATAGGGCTTCTTTATATCTAAGTGTCTTGTAGTAAAACATTGCAATAAACAGCATATCAGAAATACACCCAAACTTGGCGGCTAATTTCAGCATATGACTGTATGTTTTATTAGTCATATACGCCTGTTTGTTCACAGCTGAGGTAGTATATAACTTGCATTGTGCAAAAACAGTATTCTGGAGTACATGTGATGTAAACCTCCGTAATATGAGAACCTGGTTCTGGGTCAGAGGTAAAATTATCAACTTTTCTACAGCATTTAAGAACCTAATGCATGATTGCAGATTATCTACTGGTAGATCAGAGAGATACAACTCACGAAATAGATTTAAATCAAACAAAACCCTGTTTATCAGCATATTTTTGTCCTTATTAAAGGGTTGTCTGGGATTTTGAAGGACACTGTTAAGACAAGACCTGATCGATTGACAATGAAGCAGTGATACTAAACCATTCTCATACAATTTATAAAGCCTAAGAAATAATTTTTTTTGTGCTTCACCATGGATATTACTCAGAAACATGTTGTTTTCTGGAATAAAAAAGTTTGGGCATACCCCCTCATACACCCATTTAAGGATAAGTTTAAAGCAGACCCAGAAACACTGAAGGAGATTTTGAGGACACCATTGAGGTATTATGTTTTGTTGTATCACCCAGAAAACTGCTGTCTTCATGTGATAGGAACACAATAATTTTTCCTCGATAGTTAATTCCTTCTTGAAATCTTTTAAAAACAATTTAAGCAGCCCATAGGTCAAGAATTGGCAATGGTTCATTGAATATATAAGTTTTTGTTCTGCTAAAGAGAAGGAAATTCTCCATTCTTTGTCTGCATGTTTTCCGAGCTTGTGTCCTATTGCAACAAAGTGGCATCCATTTCTGAGTATCTCATCAACAATATAAGAATGGGGCCACGAGTGACATCTGTCTATCCATTTTGAGGCAGGAAGAGGCCAAAAATCACAGACAAAACATAGGGCAGTGTCATACTCTGCTCCCGCTATTACACCATTACCACACGGACCATGCTCCTTAAAATTAGGTATAACTTCTGAACATGTGATTTGTCTGTATTTGGAACTGGATATGTAGAGTCTGTCGTTTATTCTCATACATGCATTCTTTACACATTCACTGTGTGTTGGTGTCAGTAGTTCAAGTAAACCAAATCCTGGTGGGCTTTCAGAAAAATCACAGAGAATCAGTGTTTTTCTACTTAAGTCGTATTTCTGAGCCTTGTTTAAGTCCAATATAACGATGTGGTCATTTGGCCAAAACATTGTGTCCACATCTGATTTCTCTAGCCGGAGTCCTTCTTTCATACTCCCACTCATCATCATCCTGTCTGCTTCTCTTGTTCTCATTACTTGATTTATCATCATTTCCCTGAAGTCCATAATCTCCCTCCTCATAATTACCATCTCTGAGGACCCCAGTATGTGACACAGTCCCTCAAACACAGACTCTGACAGATGCTGTATACCCAAGTCCCTGTACCAAACATTAAAAATTAGTATATAAATGTTTTTTTATTTCACTATAAATGAGTCCAAATTATATTGAGTTATGTAATGTTCTAGACCAAAATCATACAGCTCATCTCATTTTTATATTTGTACAACACCTCACTAGGTTCTTTAACATCTGACTTACATAAATAGTGATTTTTAGAATATTAAGAAACATATTAGAAGTAGTCTATATTGATTATACATGCATATAGTTACGTGAATGTACAAGTTTTTTTTACTTACAGCCATTTGTAGGAAGACATTTTAATATTATAGTATAATATTTCCTGTTCACTTTGAAAACTATAATTAGAAGTAGAAAATCCCTATAGTACTTTCAGTTTATCGATAAAATAAAATATTTGTACAATCATCCTGCAAAAAACAAGTGCAAGACATCTATTTCATAAAGATATTAAATGAAGACATTACGTACAGTACCGACCAGACCCAACCTGACACCAAAGCAGTCCCAGAAAGCAGTCCCCGCGACTGCTTTGGGACCGCTGTGGGACTGCTCTGGGACCGCTGTGGGACTGCACTGGGACCGCTTTGGGACTGCTCTGGGACTGCTATGAAAAGCAGTCCCAGCAGTCCCAGCTGCCACTGGGACTGCTTTCTGGGACTGCTTTGTTCACTCATGTGTGAAAAAGGTTCTGAGTGACATGATAGCTCCGCCCCCTTGTGTATTTTGTTTTGTTTACTTGCAGCAGAGAGGAGTTTAAACTGTTTAATAAGCAAGGATTTCTTACATTCTTTTAATAAGTAGAGATTATTATAGTTAATTGATATTTCAGGGACTGTATATTTACACAAATTAATGTGTATTTAGAATAAATTGAAAAAAATAATAAAGTTGATAAATAAGGAATTCATGTGAAAATTTTTATCCCTAAAAATAAACTACAAGTTTATGAGAAAAAATGGCTTCATGTGGGCCTTTTTTAATTATTTAATGTTAAATTATAATATGTACTCAAATTATGCATTGGTACTATTTAGAAATAATCATTACAGTTAGATATAAGATTTTTTTTTATTAAAAATGCTACATATTTTATAAGGACGATGCTAAAAAAGAGTATTTCATGTAGCTCTCAAATAAAACCCAACAATGACCATGAAATAAAATTATGCTACTATTCTCCCGTAACATAAACTATGTGAATAATCATTGGGGAATTAATGAATTACCGGTAGCTTTTAATTAATAAACATGTTATTAAAAGAGTACAAAAAATGAAAATACCGGGAATTGTGATTTACTTCTTTTTTTTGTTTTGCTAGTGTTTACCTGGCCAATTAATGTTTATAAGATGGTATCAACACCCATTGTTTCAATCGCCTCTGGGCAGAAAAATCAATAAATGTTATTTGGGTATTTGTATCAGTGTTACACATCATTGAACATACTGGTAAACAATGACCCTAATTTCACTTTATTTAATGCGAAAAAAATGTGATAAATAAAATGTGTATAAATTTCTTTCGGGATTAATTAATTTTGAAAATAATCTGAAGTTTCCATTCTAGTGATTAACAGATGTACAATATAACATTTACAAATTAAATTATGATTTTAAATTATAATTAAATTGACATGTCAGTAAAAATAATCATGACTGAAAAATAATACTTAGTTGGCAAAATTAACAAAGATTTTTTTCAAAGCCCCAATACTTAAGAAAACTCTAACTTTAGAGTATCCCGATAGTCTAAATTGGCCATATAATGATAAGATCTATTTAAAGCTTCTTCTGGTGGAAAATATTTAATTTTAATTTTCAATATCAAAATAGACATGAGAACCAGCATCAATCACAGAAGAATTATCAATATATCCAAGAATTGTGATTAAATATTATTCAGTGTAATTCACATATTTACATATGTGTGAAGCCTTCTTCCTCCAATAAATATTATTAATAATTATTTTAATTTTTATGTGCGTACATGTTCTGTTCATAAATGACCTTCGTGTACATGTAAGGATTCCTGGCATACTACCCAGAATCAATTTCTACTGCCTTTTATAGTTCCATTGTTTATTGGAAATCTCATTTCTGAGTTAGCTCCGCCCATTATATTAATAAACCCCTCCCACTGGGACTGCTCTCTGGGACCGCTGGGACCGCTCTGGGACTGCTGTGGGACTGCTCTGGGACCGCTGTGGGACTGCTCTGGGACCGCTGTGGGACTGCTTTAGCAGTCCCAGAAAGCAGTCCCGGGGACTGCTCTGGGACTGCTTTGTGTCAGGTTGGGGCTGGTCGGTACTGTAATATCTTCACTTAATATTTGTATGAAATATTAGATGTCTTGCACTTGTTTTATTTTTATTTTCATGAGCATAGTAGTTATGTCCTTAAAAATAATCTAACACATAATTACATAGTTAAGATTTATAAATAATTCATTTGCCCTCCTTCCAAAGTGCTACTCAGATAACCTGCTGTTAACAGCATACTATTAATAAAATGAGTAATTGCCTTAACATTGATTAAGGTGAACTCTGTAATCTCTAATTACTTATGGTGATCATAACCATGGCCAATCCTAGATTAGGCTTCGTTGTTCTTGATAAGAAGATTTTTCTTATATAAGAATCCCTAGGATGTAAAATTTTGATCGACCATTGTGGCCTCACCCTTCTAACATGGACCATGATTTGAACATTACTTATTTATTACTTTCCCTATAAATTCATATGTAAATCTTTGATTGTCCATTGTTGTTCCACCCTACCCCCGGGGGTCATGATCTGAACAAACTTGAATCTACACCATATGCATATCTTTCCATATAAATATGATCAATCATGGCTTTGCTGTTCTTGAGAAAAATAATTTAGAAGTTTTTTTCCTATACATGTAATAATTTGACTGTCCGTTGTGACCCGACCCTACCACGTGTGCCATGTTTAAACAAACTTGAATCTACAGATGCTTCCATTTAAATATGAATCGTGGCTTTGCTGTTCTTAAGACGATTTTTCATATATATTCCTATGTTAAACTTTGTTTTTCAATGGCTGCCCCACCCTACCCCAAAGGGGAACTAACTTGAATCTACTTTACATGAGGATGATTTTACATGAGTTTCATATTTCCAGGCCTAGTAGGCAGTTGAGAAGAAGATTTCCAAAAGATGCCATTCATTTTTCACTTATTCATAATTGTCTCCCCTTGGAAGAAGGCGTGGCCCTGTATTTGAACAAACTTGAATTCTCTTTACCCAGTGATACTTTGCAGCAAGTTTGGTTGAAATTGGCCCAGTAATTCTTGA